ACACACACACACACACATACACACACACACACACGCATACACACATGCACACAGGGCCTCGCCACAGCCAAAACGAAACAAACTACGGGTTGCGCACCCGTGCCCTCACGGTAAGTCAATGATCCTTGTCATGCTTATGGTGGCTTTGTGTGGGGCATTGTATCGTCAATTTCATGTCCTCGATAGTCTTCAAACAACCAATGTATTTCCCAACCATTTTTCTCCACTCATCTGCATACAAACCACAATTTTCGAAGAGCAAAATGGTCAGCGGCACCAACCAAAGGGAGACCCGCTCCCCTCCTTTTTTTTTAGCACGCCAGGCATTTCGTACCTCGGAAAAAAAATGCTTGGAATTACTAGTGGTTTAACCCACCGGTATTTGGCCCAGTATATGCTGGAGGTTGCGATGATAGTCTTTCGGTGGGCTGTTGGTGAAATTCATAAATGTCAACTTTGCTCACTGCTTGTGCATAACCCAGGTTGAGAAAACCGATTCGAAACAAGTATCGAGGAGCAGGGGGCATTTAACCCAAAGTAGAGTAGGGTTTTTGCCGATATACGTATAAAGATTATTTCATTCAAACTTAGGACGATAGTGAAAGCGGAAAGCCAATAGGTCAGTTTATGGATTCAATTTGTTTTTTTCAACCCAATGTTAGCTAAGATAAATCTTAATTTGTTACTAAAACCATGAGTTATCTTACATCATCATATTTGAACCAATGACTTATATAATAACTTGTTTGCATATAGAAAGAAAAATAATAAGTACACGAATTGACAATGCAAAATAAAATAATGGAAAGAGTGATAGAGAGACCTTTAAAAACCTTCATTTCAAAGTTCGACCATAATTGTGGCATTAAACATTTTTTCAAAATATAACTAAGGGTCCTCTAAAAATTTATTTAGGAGCCCCAATAAAAATATTAACATTTCAGTGGCTTTCAAACTCTTTTATAAAATCATAATTGAAAGAAGAGTTCTCACTTTGGATTAAGATAAAACTTTCACTTCATCCGGATAGTTAAGTATAATTTTTTATTTTTAGTTTCATGTGTCAAATATGTTCAATCTATATTAAAAGTTTATTTTTTGTTTATTAGATAAGGGAATAAGATGAGAGGTTAAAACTACTATACATAATACCCCTTCAACCCTCGATAATTTTTATTTTTTGCCAAAAGTCATTCAAAGATATGAAACAAAGTTAAAAAAAAAACGTTTTTTTTTTTATAGACTCATAAAAAATAGAAATAGGATAATATTTTTCCCTATGTCATATATGGTACTACTCAAGTTCATCTATGTAGGATCATGTTCGGGTTCGGTGACCAAACTCAAAAGTTCGCGGCCGAGCGCGAACAGACGTCCAAATCCTCCGAACACGAACATAAAAATATATAAAAAAATCTCAAAAATATAAATATATATCTATATGTTACATAAAATAAAAATACAAACAACTTTTGTCTGGGAAGTATACTCAAATTCATAATTAAACTTGAGTTAAAAATCAAAACAAATAGCAAACCTTAAAAAAAAGTTTTTTTTTTTTTAATATGTTCGACCGAACACGTTCAGGAGGCATTCGACCGAGCACCCGAACATGTTTGGACGTTCAAAAAAGCTCCGAGCATGTTCAGTGTGTTATACAAGAGTTTATATATATTACAAGGGAGCATCCTTTGAAAAAAATAATAAAGTACATCGAGGATTGAGGGAAATAGAAACTCACGGTAGTAATATCACTACGCGATAATTCAAATTTATAAAAGGTGATGAAAATTATACAAATGTCATAAACAATATTAATTTAATGTTGACATTGATGACAGAGTCATCAGTAAGAAAGTAAAAAAAAAAAAAAAAAAAACTGAAAAGTTATTCCGGAGGGTCAACCTTTGAATTGATAAAAAACGATAATTATTAGCCGTCAGTAATAACGCCAAAAAACATTAAACTTGATATACATAAAAAGAAAAACAAAGCGGGAAAGAAAATCGAAACAAAAAAGTAAGGAGAGTTAGTTTTAAAGTTGAAAAAAAATGTTATCATTTATCATCTGTGAAAACTTTGTTTTTTGCACAATTTTTACAAGTTTTTGTGCATGTCAAGTTAAATATTTGTTGGAGATTTCGAGTTCGTTGTTTTCACATAACCTAAAACTCTTGAAACTTTTGCAAAACATTTATGAAAATTTATGTCATACAAAATATTTTGAATTTTTTTCCCCTCCCTGTGTTTTTACACAAGAAAATCAAGTGATGTTTGAAAATATATATATCATTGCAGTGATTAATCTTTCTTTATGCTATGAATGCATAATAAATTTGGTTCAAATATTTTAGGATTTTGCTATAAAAGCAAAATAAAAACTCAAAAGTTTATAATTTTATTAACTAAGCTACAAGCCGGGTCGCCCGGGTCCCGGGTTGCCAGCCCGTATAAGGACCAGGGACGGTCCTCCCCCCCCCCCAAAAAACGAAAACAAACTATGTTATGCAAACAAATAAACTGAACAAATTTTGTCGCAAGGTCACATCGAAAATTTTCACCAAATTTATAATAAAAGTTAAAATTTAAAAATAACTTTTTATTTTTACTATTTTTATTTTTTTTTGTCCGGTCGGGCAAGTGACCTCGGGCCACTCTGGTAACTTTGTTTATTAACCACTTCTTAAAGTTATTTTTCACTTTATCAGTTAATGAAGTTTATAAGTCGTTATTTTATGATAAAGAGGAGCGTTAGCCACAAGGATAGCAATGTAAAACCTCACAATCTGACCTTTTGAAATCTATACAATATATTAACTTGTGTAAATTTAAAGA